AGGGGAAGAGAGTAAACTGAGGGGCTCTGCTGGGTTTAACACTACTCTATGCCATAGTGATATGCATCACTTCCTCTTACATTCCATTGGCCAGAACAAGTCAATGGCCCCAACCTACCAGTTAGGGAGGCTGGGAAAAGCAGTCTGTCTTCTTCAATGTTCAACAGACATAACGTTTCAGCCAGCCCTGGCTAACTTCTACTCATTCACCTGATTACCACTGAGACATTTCTTCCACATTAGAGTCTTCCATCAAACCCAGAAGAACACCAGTGGTACACAGAAAATATATTTGTCACTGGGAAGTGGCTTCCCAGCTAGGGACTATGTTTCCCAGCAGCCCTTGCAGTTAAGTGTGACCATGTGACTGAGTTCTAGTCAATAGAATGTGAGGAGAAGTGATCTCCATCACTTCCTGGTGCAGCTGATATAGACCTCCCCCAAGGTACTCTACCATGCTCTTTTCCCCCTCCCAGTTGGATAAAACTGAAAGGACCCCAGGGTGACCTTGGAAGCTGTGTATGGACAATGAACAGCATCAGTCAGTCTGAGAGAAGAAGATAGACACTCTTAAAACCTATTTGCTCACCATCTATTGATGCATAAGGGAAAAGTCACTGCTATTGTGCTGAGCCTCTGACATTTTGGAGTTGACTGTTATAACAGCTAGTGTTGCCGTAATACCATGAGACTGACTCTCAGTCACCTTGCTAATGGTCCCTCAGAAAGTACGGGTCTTGTTCAAAGTTATATGAAGGAGAGCTGACATGGGAACTCTTGCTTTCCCCCCTGCATCATCACACCTGATTAATGCCTCCCTCCCCACCTTTTCTCAGGAGAAGATAGCTGGATTAGATTAGGACAGTGTGATAATTTGGTTAATTGCATACCTCAGGCTCAGTTCTGTTGATGCCTGTGAGGAAAAGGAGGTGGGCCAGGAAGAGGCAGAGGGAGAGCTGCAGGTGGAGGGTGGTGCTGGTGTTCTGGATGGGCCGGCACAGGAGGAAGGTGAGGATGGCCAGGAAGAGGCACAGCAGGGAGAGGATGAGCCCCACCTGGGTGATCATGGTCAGCACAGGATCCTCCTACAAGCCACCAAAGGAGGAATCTGTTATAGTTTCCAGCTGTGCTGCTGTATTTCTGACGGAAAGACCGGTGGTCTTCTGAGTTCAGTCCCTGAACAAGTGACTTAACCTCTCTGAGACTTGGTGTTCCATCTTCAACATGGGGATGGTAATAGCATTCTCCACACAGGAGTGTTGAAAAATCCAAACAACTAGACCAGTGCTGTCTCCCCAGTGTCTGAGGGCTTTCCTTGTTAGCTCGAGCTCACTCCGCCCATGTCCATGGAAGTGTCAGAGAATCAGCATCCCCTGGGTGCAGCTCTCAATAAGTGACTAAAGGGAGCTGGAGTGTAAATACCCCAATACCCCAGCTCTCTTTCCACTCAGTTAGAATGGCTCTCAGATATGAGTTCTACATTGACTCCCAGAGTCCCCCAGAATTCATAAGGTCCAGTTGCCCACAGTGGTGACAGGCTTGATCATGCTCTCTGCCTTGGTTTCTGTCTTATTCCCATTTAATTTTCCCAGTTCTCCACTGGTGTTTCCTAGAATCCCCTCTCAAGTAAGTGACTATCCCATGACTCTTTATCTTAGAGTCTTGTTCTATGAAATGCATAGGATGACCTTACAGCTTCCTGGACACAATCAGGTTCACAAGAGGGGACCATGAATGTGGGTACCTTGGGGGTAAGAGCCACAAGGACAGCAAAGCTGGACAGGTGGTAGCACTTGCATTGGGTGTGAGAATCGTTGCTGTATACGTGAGAGCAGCCCTCCGTGGACCAGCTGCCCCCCTCTTCCTGAGATTCTTCCCAGTAGACACACAAATGTTTTGTTCTCGCACTTCTAGGCTGGAAAAAAGAACAGCATGAAATTGGGTCCCTTCTTGGTTTGGTTATTCCAACTTTATAGGTTAACCATGATTCACTGTGTTGGGAACTGAATTGGGAAAACGCTTGTTGGGAAGAGTTTCACATCACCACACCTACTATGGGGTTTGTTCTTCACTTATTGTGCCCTTAGCTGGCCATCTCAGCTCCCTTGGGATTGATCCTCATAGACTGCTTCACCCAGGTTCTAGCCATTGACAGAACCAGTGAGAGGCAATGGGGAGAGATTCTTGCAGGAGAGAAGAGAGAGAAGTCAGGTATTCCTTCCACACTCTCTTTCTGCTCCAGGCTGTCCCATCTCAGGCAAGGTGATCCCTCCTCCTGCTCTAGCTTCATCTGAGCTCAATAATGCTCCCTCCTGCATTGCCTTGTAGACTTCGATGTGAGAATAGCTTCCACAGAGGCTGTCTCTCAGCACCTGGGCATTTGTTTCTTCCCCAAATTTATTGAGGGATGATTGACAAACAACAATGGTATATATTTAAGGGATATTATATGTTGTACAAAATGATTACCACAATGAAGGTAACTAACACATCCAACACCTGACATAGTTAACTTTGTGTGTGTGTGTGGGCGGGGGGTTGAGGACAGTCTCTTAGCAAATCTCACATGTATGATACATCATTGTCATTAACTATAGTCACCATGGGGTACATTAGGTCTCCAGAACTTATTCATGTTATAACTTAAAGTTTATCCCCTTAGACCAACATTTCTTCATTTTCCCCACACCCCATCCCTGATAATGACCCTTCTATGCCTTATTATTAGGAATTTGATTTTTTTTTTAGATTCCAGATATAAATGACATCATGCAGAATTTATTTTTTTGTCTGTGTGTCTGGCTTATTTCACTTAGCAAAATAGTCTTCCATGTTCATGCATTTTATCACAAGTGGTAAGATTTCCTTCTTTTCATAAGGGCTGAGCAAAATTCCATTATATATATGCATAGAAATTTTTCTTTATCCATTCAACTGTTGGTAAAAACAACTTACATTGTTTCCATACCTTTGCTATTATGTATAATGCTGCAATGAACATGGCGTTGCTGTTGTCTCTTCAGTTCCTTTGGATATATACCCGGAAGCAGGATTGGTAGATCATATGATATTCTACTTTTAATTTTTTGAGGAACCATCATACTCTTTTCCATAGTGGCTACACCAACTTACATTCCCACCAACAGATCTATAAGAATTCCCTTTTCTCCACGTCCTCCGCAATACTTATGTGTTGACTTTTTGGTAATAGCCATCCCTACAGATGTGAGGTGATGTTTCATTGAAGGAACCTTAACATTTCTTGTCAGTTCTCTTGATTAGACTTGGATTTATTACCCTACCAGGAAGCTGATAATACACCCTTCCCTTCAAACACCTCACAGAGAACCAGCCCTGGCTTCTGCTCACCTGAGTATGTTGAAAAGTCAGGACTACGGGTTCGGACAGGTAAACTTTTTCCTTCGAGCCAGTGGTGACACTCACGACGTGAGAGTTTAGTTGTACTTGCCGCATTCCTCTTCTGCCGTTAAAAAAGGATCCATTTGGCATATCTCCAAGAGATTGATAAGCAATGAGGGCAACTGCGCTTCTATCTGAGAAAAAAAGAAGAAAAATAACGTTAGGGAGTGTGCATAGTTTGGGAAGTCGGTCCATAGTGTCTTAGATGAGGGTCACAGGGCAAGCAACGGACAGTTAAAACTGCCCGCAGAAATCCCTTAAATTTCCCATTCAATACACTACGTGAAGTTTGGGGTGCAGCACTTTTGGTTATGTAATACCTATTACAAGGTCCCACACATTTAAGAGTATATGTGAAAATACGCTCATGAGTGAGTAGTAAAAACATATATGAGCCCTTACACATCACAATCAGAGTTGTGCAGCAAAATGCTTGTCCTCAGAAGGGCAGGTGGAACTCGGGAAGGCCAAGGAAGGCTCACACCCCCATCCTCCATCTCACACTCACCCTGGGTATCTGACTTAGTGGAAAGGTGTGCAGGGCGACCCATTCTATTTAATTCACTCATTTCTCTTCTCTCCCCCATCTCCCTCCCCCACCTCATTCTCTTCCTCTTCCCCTTCTCTTTTCATGAAAGTGTAATTTAATTCACAGATGGTCAATGCACATAGGATGTTCTGCAACCTGATGGGGTGTTTCCCAAATTTCAATTATTCATGTGCCACCATCCGATTTTGACCAGAGCCACTTACTACCTGTATTGTTATTCACTCTAGTTAAAAATCAACTCACTTGTAGATCCCTTCCCTCTCTCCCCCTACTCTACAGCTTATAGTAAGGAGTAAAGATAAATCACTAGCCAAGAACTTTTTTGGAATAAATGCAGCAGGCATCTCACTCTCCCTGTAGCCAGACCTTACTCTTTGAAATAGTTTCTATGCATTAATTAGTTTATTCGTTCCTCCCATGTTTACTGAACCCTTACCGTGTGCCATGACATTCTAGGTATTATAACACAGCAGTGAAGAAAACAGATAAAATCTCTGCCGTCAGAGAGCTAACATTGTGGGGGGAGAGGTGGATAACAAACCAATCAATACATTAGAAAAAAATGACATAGTGCAGATGCTTTTGCCAAGCTATAGGATAGAAAAAGACTGGGTGACTCCTTTAAATAGGGGGTTCATAAAACTCTTCTCAAAGGGAAGGATGTTCGGGGCAATCTGTCACCATCAAACGTCACCTTTTCAGACATCACATGGAAAACAGGCATGTGTCACCTGTCCCTTTTAAGGAAGAATCTCAAGGAATCCTATTGGAACCTAAGTGTGTATCACAAAGTGTGCAGTCCTTTTAAGGTTTCAACTTTATCTCCCGAAGTGCCTGATCAGTGATCAAGGAAGATCTTTTCATTCTAGAGTCTTCTAGAATCTTCCTACTTTGAAAATGTTTTAAGTTCCCATCCCTTGGTCTAGTAACCTAGAAATGAGACAATGATGCCTAGAATTTGGAGTCAAGAGAATCTATCGCAGGCACAGTACCTGTTGTGTCTCCCTTAAAAACGTAAGCACAGTTGATATCCATTGTGTTGTTTCCAGCTTCCAGAAGAGTCTTCTTCTCGCCTGTCTCATTGCACCTTTTGGTTTCATAGACTGAAAACATGAAGAAAGTGAGTCCTTTTGTACTTACTTCCCATGACTAAAACACTTGTTGAGGAGCTCCCTTCTTTGGAAGACCCCCCACTGCCGATTCCATCTCCCCAGTGCAGGGTAGACCAGGTGGCATTGCCCCTCCGCATCTCTGGCTGGTGGGAGTGAAGCGGTGACAATGTCCAGAGCAAGACACACACTGGCCACACAACCCAGGAGGTGACAGGAGATGGCTCTGCCTCCCTGAGCTAGAACTAAGGGGTGTGAAAATTCAGCATTTACCCCAGGCTACTTAAGGAGTAAAAAAAAAAAGAGAGAAAAAAGAAAAAGTGAACTAACGGAGTAATGGAGTCCCTGTGAAGCTGTGAAGGAGGGACATAAACTTTCTAAGCAAGAGTAGCTAAGCATTTAAAAGTAAGATAAGCGTTCCAAGTAAGATAACTAGGGCCAGATCTTCTGCACTGGAGAAAAATCCCATGAGTAAACTCTATCCCTATCACATAAGCCTGTAAACACAAGATCTGATGAAAGAATATCCTCATAAATTTTTTTGGTACAAAGAGTTTGTCTCTGGACAAGTAAGAACATTGTCCTAGGAGCTATGGCAGACAGCTCAGTGCCCCCTATCTCTATTCACCTCTTCTTTGTCTGGGACTACAGCTACCAAATTTAAGCTGGACATGAGTCATTTTACAGCTTCCCTTGCAGGGAGCCATCCAACCATTTGCAGGCCAACGGATGGAAGATCAGAATGATGTGTCCTACAGAAAATGAGCATCCTTTCTACTTCTCTTTTTCTTCTCCCATTGGCTGGTAGGAGGATGTGAAAGTAGAGCAGCTAACTTGTAACACCAGGTGGAAGTTGAGTTTTGAAGATGGCAGAGCACAGAGCTGCCATGAAAGAGCTATATCAGCTCGGGTCTCCTTATGCTCAAACTGTTAAAGAAATAATAGTTAAGCCATTGTTTAAGCCACTGTAACTGTAGTCTTTCTTATATCACCAGATTTGGTAGGCTAATACAGATATTAAGGCCAAATGTAACAGCTGTCAAAATGAATGATAAGACAAGTCTCTATGAATTCAATAGGATTGCAATTTTAAAGTGTATGCTCTCAGATAAGCACACATCGAACAGATTATAAATCATGACCAAGGGAAATTTATGCCTGGTAGGCAAGGCTAGTTTAACACACACAAATCAATCATTGGGATCCATCATATTAAGAGAATACATAATAAAAATCATGAGTTCATCTTGATTAATACAGAAAAGCATCGAGAAATTTCAACATCCTTTCTCGATTAAAGCCCACGATAAAATTAAGTAAGAAACCATTAACCAAAAACACCTAGAAAAGCCCCAAATATTTGGGAATAAAACACATATTCCTAAAGAACCCATAAATCAAGTGGTAAATCACACAGAAAGTTTTAAAATATTTTTCACTGAAGGATGATGAAAGCCCCATATCTCAAAATTTGCAGGATGCCCCCAAAGCAGTACCTAGAGGGAAAAGTATAGCTCTAATTTATAGCTAAATTTGAAGTTTTAAATGCATTCATTAGAAAAAGAGGATGGCTTAAAAATCAATGATCCCAGCTACCAAGTCAAAAAGTTAGAAAATTAAAAATGAAATACAAAGAAAGTAGAATGAAATAATAAACAACAGAAATCAATGTAAAAGAGAACAGAAAAATGATAGAAGTAAGCAACAAAGCCAAAAGTTAGTTCTTTGAAATGATTAATAGATAAAGAGGTGAAGGAGAAATCATAGTTCCTGACACAGGGCTCTTAAAACTCTTGTAATTTCCTGAGCAACAGACACAAAGGAAAATCTTTTGTTCTGATATTTGGTCTTTGACTCAAGTTCCTGATACACAGCTCCTGAGACCTTCGGAGTTTATTGAGTTTCAGAAACATGTGACACAACTCCTAAGTCCCATCGAATTTCCTGGGTTATAGTAGCATCTTCTGTTGTAACAAGATGACACTTAGCCAGGTACAGGATGGACTGAGGATGAGGGCAGTTTGCTGGGGAAACCAAACATGAGGTTAAAGGTTTGAAAATTTCCTTTCCATCACATCCCACCTACAGGGAGGGGGAAGAGACTGAAGGTTGAGTTGATACCAATAGGCAATACTGTAATCAATCATGCCTAACTAATGAAGCATCCATCACAACTCATCTTCTAGGTAGCTGAAAAATTTGAGATTCCTGGGATATGAGAAGCTCAAAGAGAGCATCTCTTCCATCTGGCTGGTCATCTGTATATTTATAATATCTTTTATAAAAAATATATAAATGCAAGTACTGTTCTTCCCTGAGAAAATTAATCAAACCCAAGGAGGGAGGTCACTGACTCTGATTTATAGCCAGACATGGTCAGAAGTACAGGTTACAATCTGAGATTTGCAATTGGCATTTGCAGTGAAGGCGCTCTTCTGGGACAAAGCCCTCAAACTATGGGATCTGACGCTGTCTCCAGGCAGATAATGTCAGGAATGAATCACAGGACACCCAGCTGGTATTTCCTGGACAATTGCTTGTTTAGTGTGGAGGGAAAAATCTACACGTATTTTGTTGACCAAAGATGAGGTATTGCGTGTTGTCGTGACTGTATGAGAGTAGAGTAGGAACATAAACCAAAGTTTTTTTCTTTCCACCAGCCATGGTAGGATGGTGGATATGTTCTTAAGTAATTTTCACCATAAGAAAGGAAGTTGGAATGGGGAAGAGAGCTGGTTTATTCTCTTGTCCCTGAATTTATCTTTTTGAAAGCAGAGCCCTACTCATGTAATGTCAGCGTGGAAGCTAATCCTGGGAGCCATTAGGTTTACCATTCTTGGCCCTGCCCAGGCCAGAACCTAGACCGCTTTATGGAGGTCACAGAGTCTACTCAGCACCTCTTACCTATACCAAACTCAGAATTTTGACCTTTTCCTGGAGAAGAATAACTCGAATTCCAAATACTCAATTCCACGCTCTGGAATGCTTGGGTAACCTTTCTTGCAAAGTCTCTTCTGCTCGTAGTCTTCCTCACATTATCCTGTCAAGAAAATAAAGGTAATTAGGTGGACTCTCACCGAAATTTCAGGAAGCAGGAATATGCATAAATTGGTAGGGGTGAGCCCCGAAGACAGTATTGATTAAGGTGCTACTAGTGGGGGTGAACATGAGGTTCCAGACACAGATGGAAGTCTTTACATGACAGCTGAACAATTGTCACTCTTTCCAGAGTTTCTGAGTTTCTATTGACATCTGAGACCAGTCAATTCTTGGTTGTGGGAGGCTGTTCTGGCTATTGTAGGATGTTGAGCTGTGTCCCTGGTCTTTATTCACTAGATACCAGGAGCACACCTTCCCCCTCCTCCTAAAGTTGTGACAAGCAAAAGTGCCCCAGACATTGTCAGATGACCCTTGGGGTAGAGGACAAAATTGCCCCTGGATGAGAACTACTTTCTCGTAGAAATCATAGGGAACCTGCTAGTGTTACAGCAGGAGATGATGTGGTGAGATGGACCAGCTGCTTCCCAATCCCAGGCTTCACCGCACTTACCCAAATATTCCCTGGTGACTGTGTGTTCCCACCATGGTTCTCTGTGGGGAAAAGGTAGCCATTGAATAAGATATGGGAGGAAACCATCCCTGGCTCACATCACTTCTTCCAATGCCCTCATGTTGGATCGTTCTCTGATGCCCCTGAAGCCCACTTCAATTCTCCTCTACGAAATCCAAAATGTGTTCTATAGTAGAATTATGAAAGGGAATTGAAACGTGGCTTCCAGTTTAATACTGCAGGCAACAGTGTTTACTGAGCAGCTACTCAACACCAGACACGAGGCTAAACCACATGGATAGAGGTTAGTAAAAGAGACCAAGAGTGTCCTCTTGTAGAGTTTGCGGTCTGGAAGGAAAGGAATTAAGCAAATAATTACAAATAAATAATTAAGAAATAGCAAGTGATGCTCTTAATAAATAGGAGGTGGTGACATGGGGACACACAGCAGAGAACCCCAACACATCAGCCTTGCATGGAAGGCTTCCTGAAGGAATCAACATTGATCGAGTTAATACTATGGTAGCAGTTGTCTACACATTACGTCTGCACAGTCTAGTCTAAGGGAATGCAGAAGGTTCTACAACAGGCTTATGTAGCATAAGAGATCATTTTTATAGAGCCTTCCTGGGTACCTAGGCCTGCTAAGTATTTTACACACATTAAAAAATCATAAAGAATGGGTGAGGGGTACTAGGTTGCTAGGGCTGCCATAATATAGTGCAACAAGCTGGTGGCTTAAAGCAACATAAATTTACTGTCTTACAGCTCTCCAGGCTAAAAGTGTGCAGTCAAGGTGTCAGCAGGACCGTGTTTCCTCTAAGGAAGATGCTAAGGAGGAACCTTGCCTTGCTTCTTCTGACTTCTGGTGGCTGCCAGCATCTTTGTCCTTCCTGGGGTTGTGCAGCATAACTCCAGTGTCTGTCTACACACAACCATCTTCCTTCTGTGTGTCTGTCTCTGTTTCCTAAGTCCTCTCTTTTTATAAGAATACCAGTTCTATGGGATTTAGGGTTCATCCTAATGTAGTTTGACCTCATGTTGACTTGACTACATCTGCAAATACCCTATTTCCAAATAAGATCACATTCTCCGGTTGCAGGTGGACATGGATTTAGGGAGCACAGTAGTCAACCCTGTAAGCCAGATTCTGAAATAGCTTCCAGTTATCCCTGCCTCTTGCATCAGTTGTACCTAAGTAGTGAAGCACCCATCAAAGTCCAGACGAAGATGGTTCCAGGACCTTCCAGGTAGCTGAAAATTTGGAGGTTCCTGGGGTGTGACACGCCCAAAGAGGGCTTGCAAGCTCCACACCCGCTTCTCCCATCCCTTGTTCTATACATCTCTTCCATCTGGCTGGACATCTGTATCTTTGTAGTATCTTTTATAATAAATGAATAAATGCAAGTAAAGTGCTTCCCTGAGTTCAACAAGCAAATTAATCAAACCCAAGGAGGGAGGTCATGGGACTCTGATTTAAAACTGGACATGGTCGGAAGTACAGGTTTCAACCTGAGATTAGCAACTGGTCTCTGAAGTGAAGGCGCTCTCGTGGGACTGAGCCCACACACTGTGGGATCTGACACCATTTCCGGGTAGATAGTGTCAGAATTGAATGACAGGACACCCAGCTGGTATCTGCTGAAAAACTGCTTTTTTAGTGTGGAGGAAACAATCCACACATAATCTGTTGACCAAAGATGAAGTATTCTGTGTTGTCCTGCATATGTGAGAGTAGAGTAGGAACATAACCCAAAGTGATTTCCTTTCTACCAGCCATGGTAGGATGGCGGATATGTTCTTAAGTAATTTTCACAATACTAAGGGAAGTTGGAATGGGGAAAAGAGCTGGTTTATTTTCTCATCCCTTGAATTTATATTTTTGAAAGCAGAGCCCTACTCATGTAATGTTAGCATGGAAGACTGTGATTCTGGGAGTCCATAGATTTTATGACTCCTAGGCCCTGCCCAGGCCAGAACCCAGATCTCTTGATAGAGGTCACAGGAGTCTACTCAGCGCCTCTTACCTATACCAAGCGTATAATTTTCACCATATCCTGGAGAAACAAAACTCAAATTCCAGACACTCAATTCCATTCTCTGGAGTAGTTGAGTAACCTCTCTTGCAAGGTCCTTTCTGCTTCTGTTCTTCCTCAGACTTTCCTTTGAAAGAAATAAGGCTAATTAGGTAGACTCTCATGGAAACTTCAGGAAGCAGGAATATGCATAAATGTGGTAGGGGTGAGCTCAGAAGACAATATTGATTAAGGTGCTAGTAGGTGGGGTGAACATGAGGTTCCAGACACTGGCACAGGTCTTTAAATGACAGCTGAGGCATTGTCCCTCTTTCCGGAGTTTCTTAATTTCTACTGACATCTGAGACCGGTCAATGCTTGGTTGTGGGAGGCTGTCCTGGGTATGGTAGGATGTTGAGCTGTGTCCCTGGTCTCTATTCACTAGACACCAGTAGCACACCCTACTCCTACCCCTAAAGTTGTGACAACCATAAGTGTCCCCAGACATTGACAGATGACCCTTGGGGTAGAGGACAAAATCATCCCTGGATGAGAACTACTCCTTCCTAAAAATCACAGGGAACCTGCTAGTGTTACAGTAGGAGATGATGTGGTGAGATGGACCAGCTGCTTCCCAAACCCAGGCTTCACCGCACTTACCCAAATATTCACTGGTGACTGTTCCCTTCCACTGCTGCTCTCTGGAGGGGGGGAAAAGTAGCCATGAAATGGGATATAGGAGAAAACCCACCCTAGCTCACATCTTCTTCCAATCAGCCTCAAGCTGGGTCTTTCCCTGGTGCTTCTGCAACCCACCCCAATTCCCACCTAAGAAATCCAAAATGTGTTCTACAGTAGATTATAAAAGCGAGTTAGAATGCGGCTTCCAGTTTAATACTTCAGGCAACAGTGTTTACTGAGCACCTACTCAACACCAGACACGAGGCTAAACCACATGGATAGGGGTTAGTGAAAGGGACCAAGGGTCTCCTCTTGTGGAGTTTCCAGTCTGGAAGGAAAGGCATTAAGCAAATAATTACAAATCAATAATTAAGAGATTTCAAGTGATGCTCTTAATAAATAGGAGGTGATGACATGGGGACACACACTAGAGAACCCCAACATATTAGCCTTGCATGGAAAGTTTCCTGAAGGAATCAGTGTTAACAGAGTTAATACAATAGAAGCAGTTGTCTACACAGTACATCTACACTGTCTGATTTAAGAGAATGCAGAAGGTTCTACAACAGGCGTATGTAGCATAAGAGCTAATACTGAGCCCTCCTAGGTAACTAGGCCTGCTAAGTATTTCACATGCATTAATAATCACAAAGAATAGGTCAGGTGTACTAGGTTGCTAGGGCTGCCATAACATAGTGCCACAAGCTGGTGGCTTAAAGCAACATAAATTTACTGTCTCACAGCTCTGGAGAGTAAAAGTCCATAGTCAAGGTGTCAGCAGGACCATGTTTCCTCTAAGGAAGGCGCTAAGAAGGAATCTTGCCTTGCTTCTTCTAGCTTCTGGTGGTTTCCAGCAATCTTTGGCATTTCTGGGGTTGTGGCAGCATAACTCCAAACTCTACCTTCACGTGGCCATCTTCCCTCTGTGAGTGTGTCTCTGTTTCCTAAGTTCCCCCTTTTTATAAGAACACCAGTTATATGGGATTTAGGGTCAACCCTAAACTAGTATGACCTCGTCTTACTTGATTACATCTGCAAAGACCCTATTTCCACATAAGATCATATTCACAGGTTCCAGGTGGACACGAATTTGGGGAGCACAGTATTCAACCCAGTAACCCAGATTCTGAAATGGCTTCAAATTATCCCTACCTCTTGGGATTCACATTCTGTGTAATCTTCTCCCATTGACTGTGGACTGGACCCAGTGACTCATTACTAAAGAATAGTATACACCAAAGTGATAGGATGTCACTTCTACAATCAGGTTATAAAAGACTATGACTTTTCTGTTATTCACTCTCTCTGGCTGTGTTCAGTTGCTTGCTGTAATAAATCCAGTGAGAGATGCCCATATATCTAGGAACTGATGGCTGCTTCCCACCAACCACTAAATCCTGAGGGCTTCAGTCCAAAGGCTTTTAATGAACCAAATCTTTCCAGCAACCCTGTGAGTGAAGTTGGAAGCAGATCCTGCGCTAGTCAAGCCTCCACACGAAACCATAGTCCGGAAAACACCTTGATCGCAGCTGTGATAGACCCTGAACCAAAGGACCCAGCTAAGCCACAGCTGGACCCACAGAAACATTGAAAAAATAAATATGTGTTGGTTAAGCCACTAAATTTGGGGGGTAACTTGTTATGTAGCGACACGTAACGAACATGTACATCTTAGTGCTACTCCCACTTACAGAGGAGGCACATAGAAGTCCAATCAGTAACTCAGAGCCAGCTAGGGAGGGCATGAGGCAGCACTTACATCCAATCCATCCAACTCAAAACATGGAATTACTCTAGCATTGAACAATTAGATAAATATATTGTGGGTAGTAGGAGCCAGGATTCTC